AAGAGCCACGAATTCCGCCTCTGCTGTAGATAGTGAACCGCAGGATTGCTTTCGTCATGCCCATGCAATGGTTCCTCCGCAGTATTTGAATACATATCCACTATTGGACTTCCTGTCGTCGCGACATTCTGCCCAATCGGCATCAGCGTAACCCACCAGACCAGATGAATCACCACTGCTACTCAGTCGAAGCTTCAGATCAATCGTCCCCTTCAGGTAGCGAACCATTCGCTTCAAGTCACGTTGGGTCACCTTACGACTCAAGATTGAGATTGCCGTTGCGATGTCAGTTCTGCTGTTGACTGCGATGTACAACAGCTGCCCAACTACCTTTTGATATTCTTGATTATTTGGAAGATTGCCATCGTTATCTTCCGTCTTGATGTACCCAGGATCAATTGGCACGGTTGACACTTTCGCATCCTGTAGACCAACAGAACAGATGACGTCTTCAATGTATTTCCGCTGGTTGATAAGAAAATCTCCAGCATGGTCTCGATCGACTTCGATCCCGAGGTAAAACTTGACATCACCGAGGCAGCTGATCTGGAAATTTCTTGCAAGCGTTCGCTTCAATGCGTCGATCATACGTTCATCCTCGCTCGCTACGATGAGATCATCCACATACACGAGAACATAGCACCAATTGCTACCAGCTCGCTTTCTGTACAGGCATTGATCTGCGTCACATCGCTCAAAACCATCCGCTTCCATCACCTCATGCAGTCACTGGTTCCAAGAACGAGCCGCTTGCTTGAGCCCGTACAAACTTTTCTTTAAATGGCATACCTTGTTTTCCATACCACTGACGACATACCCGGGAGGCTGCTTCATGTAGATTGCCTCCTCAAGGTTGCCGTTGAGGAACACCGTTTTTACGTCGAATTGCTTGACGATCATCTTCTTCTTGGCTGCCACAGACATCATGGTGCGGAACGTAACGTGTCGAACAACTGGCGCAAAAACTTCATCGTAGTCCGTCCCAAAACGTTGAGTGTAGCCCTGGGCTACCAGCCTGGCTTTGTACCGAACTACATTGCCATTTTCGTCTCGCTTCTGTTTATACACCCACTTACATTCAATCGACTATATCCCAGACGTCGTTTTCTTCGATGAATGCTAGCTCTTCCTTCATAGCCGTGCACCACTTGGCGCTGTTTGGATAACGCTTGCTTCAACGATTTTGGCTCCTCCTGAACCGAAGTTTCTGCTGTACAAGCATACCGCTCTGGAATAGCTCCAAGATTAGCTCTTGTTGATCTTCGAGGTGGATCGACATCTACACTGGACATGCTCCCGTCCACACGTACGGCATCGGACTGCACTTCGATTTCACGGAGAGTTGCTTCGTCCGGTTGTTCATCTGGATCATCCCAGACATCGTCGTCATCTGATTCAGTTGATCCTGGCTCACTCATTAGGTCCACTCGTTCGAAACAGATGGATGGTACAACCAGACTTTCTCCCACCGAACCTGGCATGGGCCCGCAAGAAGTAAGAAATTTAACATCACGGCTAACAGTTACCTTTCCATTCGTCTCGTCCACCAGGCGGTATGTCTTCGATACTTCACTGTATCCGACGAACCTGAGCTTGACAGCCTTCCGATCTAGCTTACCTCGCTTTTCATTTGGTACATGGCAGTACGCATCCACACCAAACCGCTGAATGTGTCCGAGATTGGGCTTCTTCCCAAACCACCGCTCATATGGTGTGCCACTGATCGACCGTGATGGCAGCCTATTCTGCATGTAGTTTGCAGTTACCACTGCTTCTCCCCAGAAACGCTTGTCCAGATGTCCGTCAATGAGCATGCACCTGGCCATTTCAACAAGGTAACGATTCTTTCGTTCTGCTACACCATTTTGCTGTGGGGTGTATGGTGCCGTGAGCTGATCGATGATACCGTTTTGCTTCAGGAATGCATTGAATGCCTTGCCAGTAAACTCACCACCCCTGTCCGAGCGGAGAATTTTGAGCTTCCTTCCAAACTGCGTCTTAACTAGCTCAACATATTCCTTCAGTTTCTGGAGCGCTTCAGAATTCTTCCGTAGCAAATAAACGACCGTGTACTTACTGTAGTCGTCGATGAATGTGATGAAATATCGTCTTCCGCCCAGAGTCGCCGTCCTCATTGGTCCACAGATATCAATGTGAACCAAATCCATCACCGCCGATGACACACTTTCTGACGTCTTCGGAAACGATGTCCTGTGCATCTTACCTTCAATGCACACTTCACATGCATCAGTGCAGCTGCATCTCTTCACCCTCACGCCGTTGATCAAGGTCTGCAATTTCAACACCGCTTCGCAGTCTCTGTGTCCAAATCGTCTGTGCTACGCATGCACGCAGTCATCGTTCGTCGTCACCATGGATACGTTTTCGGTTGATTGACGAATTATGAACAAGTTACCAACGGACTCCGCCATAGCACATATCTTTTCACCTTTCATGATTCTCGCTCCAGTTGCTTCGAATGTGACGACGAATCCTTTCTGCACCAGCCGCTTCACGGATAGCAAACTTGACTTCATTTCAGGAACATACAAAGCGCTTTCTATTGGAACTTCACGTAGTCGACCAGAACCATCTAGCACATTTATTCGCCCAGCACCTCGGCCTTTCGAACGTACCTTCGTCCCGTTGGCGGCCCAAACGTCCTCAGTAGCTGCATCATCCAAATCCTCGAACAGGTTCCGGTAATTTGCAATGTGGCAGGTTGCACCGGAATCCAAAATCCATTGGTCTTCCGTTTGACTAATGCATCCAGTGAGAAACGCGTAGCTATCATCATCATCTTGCTGCGATACGTGGTTGGCTTTCTGTTGCTTGGATACTGCCTTTCGGTGCTTGGATACAGCTCCGTTTCCTTTCTCCACCTTCCATACTCTGAACTTTTCGCAATTTGCCTTCTGGTGACCTAACTTTTTGCAGAAGAAGCACCGGTCTTTTTCGGCCTTTGAACTTGCATAGAGAACAGCTTCAGGATTATCGCTATCATCGTTGCACTGCTTCTTTTTCTGCCATTCATCGATGAGCTTGCCCTTCACCATATCCAGGGTCAAATCATTCTCTGGTCGAGCTTCAAGGGCGGTTACCAACGTCTCGTACTCCTCCGGCAGACTGCTGAACAAAATCGCGACCAACCATTGGTCGTCAAGGATCTTTTCCGGCTGTAAATTGTTGAGCTTCTCGAACAATTCCGACAACTTCGATACGTGCGCTTCCATATGTCCATGTTTTTCCAGGCGTTGACTACAAATTTTCCGCATCACAGAGACCTTCGTCGTTAACGTTTTCTTGACATGGAATTTTTCTAGAGCTTTCCACGCCTCCGCCGCCGATTTGGCCTTCCTTATGTGGATTAATTGGTTATCCTCCACGGCCAATCCAATCGATGCCAGCGCTTGATCATCCTTGGTCTTCCACGCACTTGTAACCGCTTCTGACCTTGCGTCCGCTATGGTCATCCAATTTCCTTCCTTGGTCAGCAACAGCTTCATCCGCCAACTCCAGTTATCGTAATTGGATCCATTGAGCCTTGAAAACGACATCAGCCTGTCCGCCATCTCGTTACGAATTCAAATTCTATCATCACCAGTTCCGATTGCACTGCCTGGGCCCATAACCTATCGGCAGAAGTGGGAACAATCGGACTGGACTCGAAATACTATTCGAACTACAATTGAAAGGAACGTCTTTATTTGTCAGTAGTATAATTTGAAAGGAAGAAAATGAAGTTATGCTTTGAAATCAAGGCATACTGCGTTGTATATACTCAACAACTTCTACTGTATTTCAAATCAATATCGAGAAAAAATGCACGAGAATTTCACTACACAGCTTAACGTAGTCAACCCTGCGGTCGTGTCTTGTACACAACCCCACCATTTTTTTACCCATAGCTGGGTCAGCAAGAGCGTCACTACTCAATGCGAGACTAAACAAAATAAGGCAATCAAACAAACGAAGCGAGCGAGAGAAAATTGAAATTTAGACCTTAATTAAGAAGATAAAGGCCAATTAGCCAAAGGCCAATCATAAAATATCACAAAATCAAGAAATCAAGAACACTGATAACAAATGTTCTTCAACTGGAACAAACTCACCAAATCCAACGATGGTCGTTATCCAATGGTGCGGATCCATACATTATGAATTCAAATTGCACTTCATTCAGACATGGCAGAAAACGACCCGAAACTCGTCCAATATATTGAAAATGTATACATTCTGCATATGGCAGACGGGCCCGAATCATTCTCCAAGATATTCACCGAAAAACTGACATGCATGACCATCATTCCGCACACATCCTCCTTCAGCGAATTCAACCACACAATCTTTATCAAACCGCCCTTACAGTTCAGCTTTATAACTTCGCTTAACACATCCAAACCACCGATATGCTCAGAATTGGGTTTTCGCAACATTAGTCACATTTTCATTTATGGGCAGCCCAGCACTGATGCATACTCTGAAAATGATGCAAGGTACAACTCTGATTGTATGGAATTTCCGAAATAAATTCAGGCCTACTTGATTAGGTGAAACAAATAGAGTGTCATGGTATGACCTTCATTGAGCGTCATTTAAATCACGTCATCATTAATGAAATATCCCCAAGGACCAAGGCAGCTCCTAAAACAGACACAGTACATACATTCATACAGCCAGGGTCATGAATCGTTTATGTCTTCAAAATAACACACTTATACCCTGTGGCATACAGAAAGCAAAGCAGCGAGCGAAATAGTGAGCATTACGAAAAAAAATATAAATAAAAACAAATGCCAAGGTGCAATAAAAATCAGACGATCATTTCGAGGAAGACGGAGAGAGAGAGAGCGAGACAAAGCAAGCAAGTAAGTACCTACCTAAGTAAAGTAGTGAGTAGCCGCCATCCACCCCGAACAGGTAAGTATGAACCGAGCAAGCAGTTAAGTACCCCACCCTCCTGTTCTCGCTGTCTGTGTCTGTGCCTTTCCTTCGCTGAACTCTGAGCATTCGGGCGGCCGGGTAGACCCAGACCAGACACAAAATGCTCACCACCTAGTCTCCAGCTTTAAGTCAACCAAAGTGCGTCGTCGACGTCTCGTTCCACGTCTGCTGCAATCGCGGTTTCGATCTTTCGGACAAGTGCAAATTTGCTTCCACCACCACCAGCAGCAGCACGGGCAGTGGGTTTCAAAGTTTCAAGCAAGTTTTGTGTCCTGCTAAAAGTCAGTTTCCAATCTGTTCTGCCAAGTGGAAGAAGGATCGCATCTAGCGCTAGTTTCGAAGTCGTTGAAGTGTGAGTGCTTGTCAGGGAATTTTTTTGTTCCTGGTGCAAAAAAAAACAAAGTAGGGAAGAACTTTCCGTCCGAGTGGAAATTTCATTACCACGACGAGCTGCTTTTCTCCGCGTGTTATCAGCTGCTGCAAGAAGGTCGCATCCAAAAGTGCATCCATAGTAGAGTAACTGCGGATAAGAAGAAGAAGAAGTTGTTAAATTGAGTGCACACGATTTCGCAGGTTGGGTGAAGAAATACGCCCGCGCGGAATTTCTCAAGAGTGTTCAGCAACGTGGTGTGCTACTAGGAGTAGTGGCTGCTTGTCCGTCGCTTGAAAGGCGCGTCCATTATTAGATAATACCGGAGAAAATCTCGTTTTAAACCGGGACGAGCGTTCGTGAGTGTGAGGAAAGAAGCAGCGAGCCGAGTGAAAAAAAGAAGCAAACAACGTCTTTTGTGAAGGCAACCATCGTCACGTGCGTCGTTCGGATCGTTATTGCTCTCTGAGACTTAAGGCCTCCGGATTCGGAACGGGGCGAAGAATACAAAATAAGCAGTATGAAAATGTTTTCAAAAGTGAGTAATAACCGTTACATAATATTTAATGTAGGGGGATAAGTCATAAGCTTTAACCGCAATAGCAGCGGTAGTCGTGCTTAATTTCGTGGAAGAGCTGCACTAAAAGTCATGATTGGTGGATTATCTCGGAATCGATCTGCTGGATCATCGCGACAGGTGACTTGGCTACAACGTTTATACTTAGTTCCCGATAAATCTGACATTATACATACAGCATTCCTTCCATATATGTGGCTCACCGCTATTTCACGGCTGTTCATCAATCAATTGAGCTGATTTTCTGTAGATAACCAGTTTATGGTTGACACTAATCACATACAATCAGCGTAATTGGTTCAAGGACAGCCGAGAAACAGCGGTTGGTAGACGATACCACCCACCGCATATACGGAGGAGTCACTGTAGATGCAAGGAGATTACAACCTCCTACAGTTCTAGCAGATCTAAAGTGCTCATGTTGATTTTTGTTCATTTGATCCTAATAACTTTGTTATTTGTAGTGATAGAATGTTGGTGTCTTCTGACAAAATACATTTTTTAAATCTCCTTTCGATCTTTAAAATTTTAATAAGCGATGATGCTATTTTTATCGTTGAATATTTATCATTTTGACGTAGGATTACGTCTGTGATTTCTATATAGAGGTACACTTTGTGAAAATCAAAAATGGTACATGAAACGAAATAATGAAAGATTTTGAACGTTAACAACTCAGCTGCCCCTGGACCGATTTCAATAATTTTATCACCAATTGATCAGAAACATTTCTACGCATCAATAGCAATGTTTCCGACTGTTGATTTTCAACAAGAAACTGTTGAAAAAGTGGTAAATGTCAAGTTTTGTCCTAAAGCGTCGAAAAAACTAACAAATTTTGTTTCCCCAACACGGTCATCAGAGAGTCGTTAGTAGACGAAACAAGTCGAAGTGGCATTCGCCTCCTATCTTCGGGCGTGTGCGAATAGGGAGGATGTAATTGCGTAACATTTGGAACACTCAGCGCCATATTCAGAACCAGACGCCCTCAAGGACCACACAAAATGCTCTCCAGAGTTGTAATCTTGCAACCATAATGATTTTGATCGATTCTCTTCATCGACTTTCTGTTTCGTTAATAACTCGACACATTCATTGATACGTTTGTTTTTCTGGATGATAGCAGAGCATAGCAGAAAAAGTAAGAAATAGGCTAGTGACACCATGGCCCCTCTGTTTCTAACCTCCTTAATTCAGTCGTCGTCATAGCAATGAAAACTAGCATTACACAGCTTTTGGCTATTGGGTTACACTTGCTGGTTGCAATTCTGCTGTTCGACATTTTCGAAGGACTACCAAAAAACATGAAATTACACTTTATTCTAGGGATGCCTAAAAGTCCCATTATCCGATTAACGATTAATGGTTAAGATTTTTCCAGCTATTAGATTAAATATTTAAAATAACTTAAGCGCGTAACCGACATCCTTTCTTATTCCTACTGGTTTGATTTAGTGCAGTAGAGATTTTTTTTACTTTAAATTTATTTTTATTCAGTTGTTTTGTTTTACCATAGTTTTACATTGTAAGTGATCAACATTAGTTATTCATACTGCAAGCCATTAGCTAAATTTTGCTAATTGGTATTTATCGTTTCACAGTGTGAACATTTGTTCTATTTTTTTTTTTTTTTTTTTTTTTTTTTTTTTTTTAATAAAACAGCAAAAAAGGTTATCTTCCATTTAATTCCACTTAATTAATTTTGGTATCCATGACAGATACGTATTTCGACTACAATGTGCAGTCTTCATCAGTGTCATTCCCACTAAAGAACTTATCAAAATCTAACCCCCTTAAGTACTCATCCCCTAGGTAAAAAAGTCAAGATCATAGGTATAAAAATGAAACTACAATGTGTTGAATCGGAACCTACCTAACTAATAAAAACCAAAGATTTAAGTAAGCTAAAGGAGAAAAATCTATACAACTCTCTAATAAGGAAAATCCCCAAAGGCTTGGTAGCCATCATAATGAAGTAATGAAATTTGGGTTGTTAGTGGAATGCTAAATAAAACAGCAAAAAAGGTTATCTTCCATTTAATTCCACTTAATTAATTTTGGTATCCATGACAGATACGTATTTCGACTACAATGTGCAGTCTTCATCAGTGTCATTCCCACTAAAGAACTTATCAAAATCTAACCCCCTTAAGTACTCATCCCCAGATTTTGATAAGTTCTTTAGTGGGAATGACACTGATGAAGACTGCACATTGTAGTCGAAATACGTATCTGTCATGGATACCAAAATTAATTAAGTGGAATTAAATGGAAGATAACCTTTTTTGCTGTTTTATTTAGCATTCCACTAACAACCCAAATTTCATTACTTCATTTTTTTTTTTTTTTTTTTTTATGGTTACTTTAACACTCTTGGGTCATTCGTGACTTGTCCGGGGGTGAGATTTGAACTCGTGACTTTGGCGTCAGAGGTATGGATGTTAACCACTACGCTGGGGTCGCCCCCACATTTGTTCTATTTTAAATGTTTAAATTTGAAATTTCCTATCCAACTACATTAAATCCTAACTGAACCTACTATTAACAAAAGCATGGGTAAAGATTTCTAATTTTTTCGTACTCTAGTCCTAGTTTGGTGCCAACTGGCTAGTGCAGTCATTCTATCACGTCACGTCGGCTATCCGTGTGCGCGGAGGCAGATTCAGAATCATCTTCAGGGACTTGTTCTACCTGTAGACAGCCAGCTTGTTGACGGTGGATGCATTCGAGCGACGGTTGATGATCGAATACAGACGTTTCAGCATGATGGTGCCTTTTTTTTTGACTTGGTCTTCCCCGAACGACCGGAAGAGGAGCTGTCAAGAATCTGGCCAAGATAGCGTACCTCGGATGACCACTCAGTTTCAGCGTTCAGAACCTTTATCTTTAATGACGGTTTGAGCCGGTCGGTTTTGCGATGCGGAAACACAATGGTTTGCGTTTTGGCCGCGTTTACACATCCAATTCCTTTTTGGAGCTTCGAAACGAGAGTGCGCATTACTCGTCCCTTGAAGCTGATTGCCGAATCGTCAGCAAACAGCGGCATTGTCGGTATGTCCGATGTATACAGATTGCACAATATGGGTCCCAGGATGCTTCCTTGAGGGACTCCGGTGGGTACATCAAACTGTTCCGAGAGAGCACTGCCTACGCATACTTGAGACGTCCTGCCGTCGAGGTAGTCCTAGATGATCTTCACCAGGTAGCTGGGGAAACGAAATTGCAGAAGCTTGTGCACCAAGCCGTCATGCCTTTTCGATGTCCAGTATCACCATGACCGTTGTCTTCAAGACCGACTTCGCCTGATTGATGAGGTTTGAGACCAGCTTGAGTTGGTCCACCGTCGAGTGACCTCGTCGGAATCCAAATTGCTCGTCCAGCAGGATATCGTTTGTCTCGGTGAACTCGAGGAGTCTGGCGTAAATGAGTTTTTCAAACAACTTGCTAAGCGAGGAAAGCAAACTGATCGGACGGTAGCTTGACGGGTTGGTAGGATCCTTTCCCGGTACCACCATGGACCGTTTCCGGGAAGCTGGGAAGTGTCCGAGCTCCAGGCAGTGATTGAAGACGTTCACCAGAAGAACCCCGGTGCTTTCATGTTCTTCGTCGACTTGATGGTGTTCACCAGCTCATCAAGTGTGATTTTCCGGTCCGCCGGAAGCTCGCTAGGCTCAGTAGCTAGCTGGTAGACCCTCCATCGGGCTGACAATATCTCGACCCAGATTATGCGAAGCCATAAAATGTTGAGAAATGGAGTTCGCTTTTTCGACGGCCTGAACCTCATTATCAACTCTAAGATTTGTGATTAAGCACTGTTGTTAAACGCCAGAAGGGCTTAGAGTAATTTGGTAAACTACTAAGGTCTTTTGCAAACTGCCTGTTCCTAAGTTTTTCCACTCTAATCGCAATAATTTTGTTTAATTTGTTATACATAACTTTCCTACTAACGTTTTGCGTTCTTTGCAACTGCCTCCTAAGAAATATTATACGCTTGGTCTCATCATCAAGGTTGGTAAACTTACATGTCAACGGGGTTGTCAGGATGAACCGTTGTCCCGCTTTGCCTATGTCATCGGAGAGTGCTTGCAGCACGCCGTCGATTTCTTCCGTCTTCGTTAACGCAGGATTTTCGATCACTCGATCCTCCATAAACCGCTGGAGTTAAGGCCAATTCGCTCGATAATAGTTTCGCCTACGATGCTGCTGACGTTGGTTGATGGTTTGATATTGTTGTTGGCCGCATTTAGAGCAACGCGATTTCATATGGCAGTTGCGCGTGCCATGTCCGAAATTCAAGCAGCTGGTACACCGACTTGTACCGCTCCCACTCGACGACGACACTGAGCAGCGTTCGGATGCTTTGAAGCTACATCATGTTTGTGGATCCGTCAACCAAATGCATCAGGTACAGCTGGTCGCGATACTTGATCGCCTCGTTGTGGCGTTTGATCATGAAAACCTTCCAGCTCGTGCATCCCGCATAGAATGACCTTGAAGGGCTTCGTCGACGGCACGTCGTGGGTGAAATATTCCACATTCGCGCAAATCTCCCAGATTGGCATCCTGTATTCTATTACGGGAAGGATGATTTGTTTGTAGACAGCAAGCTTATTTTTCAGGGATAGAGTAGACCTCCTGTTGATGAGTGGATACAGTGATCTTATCAAGATGTTGCACTTCGTTTTGGTTTTGTCAACGTGCTCCCTGAAAGTCAGTTTGCTGTCTAGTGTTAGCCCGAGGTACACGACCTCTTTGGACCATTCCACCACTGTGCCGTTCAGGCAGATTTTGTTATTCTCCGACGGAACAAGTTTGGGAGATTTAGAGTGTGGAAAGATAATGACCTGGGTCTTTGACGCGTTGATACGGATCTTCCAGCTGTTGAAATATTCAGACAGGACGTCCAGGCTTCTCTGAAGTTTGGCAGTCAGAGCTCCGATGACCCTACCCCTGTTGACGAT